ACAACACCTGCTACCTACAGGAGGAGCTGTGTTTTTCTTAGCATGCCAGAGATGCTGAGCAGTGAAAAGAAACATTTGAAATCTGCTGAAACTTGGATCTCTGTGTTCAAACTGCAAAAAAAGGAAAAAAAAAGAAAAAAGACTGAGCTGGAATGCAAGTGCTGTTACTCAGCCTGGGGGAAAACTGATTGCCAATTAAGAGGCACATTCTTCCAGTCGCCTCAACAGTAATACTCTGTTTTGCCTGGGATTAACTGATAGAGTAGGAGATGTTACAGGCAGGGATTTTTCTCCCTTGGAATTCCAGCAGACATGAACATCAATATAGAGAAGATCATTAATTTAAAATGTAATTCACTTAGTCAACTAATTAAAAGAAAATACTTCTGTTGCTGTTTGCAGGTAGGCTGCGGAAATGTCATTAGCTACTGCAATGATTCCATGCATCTTTAGCCTTTTCAATATTTGCAGATTTTTTCCTGGTGGTGTCAGCTTTGGTGAGAGGGTTCACTAAGGGCAAATTGTGCCTGACTAATCTACAACAGAGTTACAGCTCTGGTGGATATGGGAAGAGCAACTGACGTCATCTACCTGCACTTGTGTGAGGCATTTGACACTGTCCTGTATGGCATTCTTGTCTCTAAGATGGAGAGACATGGACTTGGTGGATGAATGGACCACTCAGTGGATAAGGAACTGGCTAGAAGGTCACCCTCATTGAGTTGTGATCAACGGCTTGAAGTCCAGGTGGAGACCAGTGACAAGTGGAGTTCCTCAGGGGTCTGTTCTGGGTCCAGTGCTGTTTAACATCTTTGTCAGCGACATGGATGGTGGCATTGGGTACACCCTCAGCAAGTTTGCTAATGACACGAAGCTGCGGGGTGCAGTGGACTCACTTGAGGGAAGGGAGGCCATCCAGAGGGACCTTGGCAGGCTTGAGAAATGGGCCAATGCAAATTGCATGAGATTCAGCCAGGTCCTGCACCCGGATCGAGCCAGTCCCAGGCACAATTACAAACTGGGTACAGAGCTGGTTGAGAGTAGCCCAGAAGAGAAGGATTTGGGGGTGTTTAGTGATGAGAAGCTCAACATGAGCTGGCAGTGTGCTCATGCAGCACAGAAGGCCAACCGCATCCTGGGATGCATCAGGAGGGTGTGGCCAGCAGATCAAGAGAGATGATTCTCCCCCTTTACTTTCCTCTTGTGAGACCCCACCTTGAATAAATACTGCATCCAGTTCTGGTGGCATAGATCTGTTGGAACAAGTTCTGACAAGGGCCACAAAGATGATCCAGGGGCTGGAGCATCTCTGCTATGAGGAAAGGCTGAGGGCACAGGGATTGTTCAGCCTGGAGAAGAGAAGACTCTGTCAGGACCTTTTAACTGCCTTCCAATACCTGAAGGGAACCTACAGGAAGGCTGAAGAGGGTTTTTTTGCAAGTGTGTCCAGTGACAGGACAAGGGGAAATGGTTTTAAACTGAAGGAGAGCAAGTTTAGGCTAGACCTTAGGGAGAAGTTCTTCAGTATGAGGGTGGTGAGACTCTGGAATAGAATGCTCAGAGAGGCTGTGGATCCCCCCTCCCTGGAGGGGGGATCCCTGTTTAAGACCAGGTTGGATGAGGCCTTGAGCAACCTAGTCTAGTTAAGAGGATTCCCTGCTCGTGGCATGGAGGTTGGATTAGATGATCTCCAGGGTCCCTTCCAACCTAAGCCATCCTACGATTCTTCCGAAGTTTTTCCTGCATTTAGCATTCTTACAGGTTAGCCTTGTAGTATGAGAGACACACGGATGTGAAGTAATATCATGTGCTTTCAAGAGCTGTAAGTAAAATCAGCACTGAATTGTCAGGAACTATTATTAGCATCCTGTTATTTTTCTTTTGCTAGTACCTAGAATAATGCTGGTTTGTAGTGCTTTATTTTATACAGCCGTCTGTTGCGTTAAAGGAGAGGTTACCAGTTCTGAAAGCATATTCAAAGTTTGGCTTGGATCATAGCTTGCTCAAGGCTTTCTTGCAGCTTACAAACACCTAATATCAAGCAGTGCCCTCCTGGATCTTGCTTTGATGCCTGCTGATGGCACACATGTGCTCAATGAGGGTGTTCAGGCTTGATGACAGAAGATATGGCCAAGGGTTCTCTGGTAGGGTGTCTGGAGAGGCGAACCAGTTGACCATACATACATGATAATGACTTCACCCCTGTTGGCAGAATATGTTTAAGACACTAATTATTGCTGCAATGCAACAGAGCTTTTGTCCATCTTCTCTGCAACCTGCCTCTGGCAGCAAGTAAGGCTCCCAAGGAAGACAGAAACCCTACAAGCACATGGGAGATGAGGCTGTCTACAGACTTATCCTGATCAGCGTATGTCTGTCTTCTCATCTTCCAACAGCAGTTTGCCCTAACTTTCCAGCAGAAATGCATTAATGCACACTAATCTGGCTACCCCAATTTGCTCTTAAAATTTGCTAGACTGCCTCAATTTGTTACGACAGCAAACCGTGTATATTTATTCTGTGCTGTCTAATGATTATCAGCTCCTGCCTTATCAGTGAAGATGCAGAAAAGCAACAAGTCTGTCTTTAACTGCAGTGCTGCATTTTGTGAAGATCCCAATTGTTATCTTGTTCCTTCCCACCCACCAGCCCAGTAAGCAGGCGGGGGTTTCTGGTGGTTTCTTTGTTTGTGGTTTGCATACAAGCATTCATGAATATTGTGATACTTATTGAAAATGTTAATGTGCCAGGGCATAAAGGGACACTCCCTCCAAAAACAGGGCTCTCCTAAGGCTTCAAGTGCAAAACTCACTCAAGGCTTCTGAAGATCCTGTCTTATATACACACTTGTAGAAATATCGTCTGCCGTGGCATTATTCAGATGGACATAAATGGACATGCTTTCTCTTTGAGAACTACAGCTAGAAATGGATCTCTGGCTTTTAAATAAGTAGCTGTAAACTTTTCTGGTAACCTTTTCTGACATGGTATCGAGGCTGATACAGGAGTCTGTTTTGTATTGTGGCTGAGCAGATGTTATGTGTGGCCTGATCTTACATCACCGGTGAGTCCCTTTGTGGGGTGAAGCTCCACCGGATTTTATATTGCTGTGTTTCTCTGTAATGTAAAAGAAAAATGGAAAAGAAAATGGAAAAGATTGGCTTGGTGACTACAAAAGACATGTTTGTTTCTTTAGAAATAGTGAACAATCAAAATTGTAAGAAGAAATTGAGTAAAATTAAATTATATGTTGAGGGATGCTTTCTTAAAGAGAAACAGGCTTTTTAATTGCTGCATCTGTAAGGAGAGAAGATGGGTTTTCTCTTAGTTTTCCCCTTGTTTACTACCTCAGGGTAGGAAAGGAGAGAGAAATGAAGTACAAAATGGCTGAAAACCTTAAAAATATGGGAGTTTTCCCTTTTTCCATCAGAATTGGGAGCTTAGAAAGTTTTGTGAGGAAATACAAACGTGCCTTTTTCCACTGTTTACTATGAAGCATTATTTCAGTCCTGTAAGACTCCCTGCTTCTTGATAGCTGTGGTACTGGAGAAATTTGTTTTCCAGGTAAAAAGAGAAACAGGTCTCCTAACTTCTTGTGGTTATTTAAAAATCCCTTCATAAAAATGTAGGCCTGTTTCATCCCCGTGCCTTGGCCCAACACTGTCTGGGCACTTCTGCCTGCCTGGAGTCACATTTAGCTTCAGTGTGTTCCCCCTTCTAACACAAATATACTGTTGAAAGGGGCTGTATTTTGACCCGCAAAAGGCATGTTTGAAAGTGGTGAGGGAAGCAATCCTCTGTCTACCTGGCTTGATATCTCTCGGGCATCCTTTGTTATCATTTTAATAAATCTGCTAAGGTACCATGGCAACTGGGTGTGATAACAGCCAGCAGAGCACACTCAGATGGAAGAAATCCTATGCAGCATAGAATATAATTTCATTTCTTTTTGAGTATTTGCCATCTTTGGTGCTGTGCATGGTGTGGATTCTTCTATATGTAAGCCCAGGAAGGGTTTGTCTGTTTTAAGGCTGTCGCTATTTAGCTTGGTTGGTTTAACAATCGCTGGAATAATCTCCAGCTTCTTCCATACAAAAATACTTGAACTTTTGTAAATGTGATCTGAGGGGAATGCAATTTTGGGCAAGTAGGCTCCAAGCAGCAAAAGACTGGGAGGGAGAGGAAAAGTTGGCTTGATTATTTTTTTTTCCTTATTTTATTTTTATTTTTTTCTTTTTTTGTTTAGTCCAGTCACACACATGCTGTTCTTGTTCAGTCTTCTGAAAGCCCTACATACTTCCCAGAGGGCAGCATGTTCCCCATTTCCATTCCCCATTATTTTCCTCTCTATTGAGAATACCAATTAATGAAGATTACAACAATTTGAAAGGCTTTCTACTTCTCCATCACTTCTGTGGCACATCTCATGCAAGCTGTCTCCAGGCCTAATAAGCTGTGATGGGATCAGCCAGGAATCACCCTGTGCCTCCTTTCTTCTGTATTTTCTCTCTGTGCTGGGATGCAAAGAGAAAAGACAGAGAGGTCTGACTTTAATTGCTGAATATTGTGCACACATGCGAAATCCTAAATTGTAAGTTAAATGCAGCTAGAGGGATATTTTATATTGCAAGAGTGATGCAGTGAACTGTGTAACTGTTCAACACACATGCACCTGCTTATTTATTACTCATATTGTTGAGACTGGTAGAAAATCTAACATTCAAATGGAAGATGAAGATCTGTTAGTTTTCGAGAGGCTGGTGCATAAAAAACATATAAATGTTATTGCTCTTTTTTATTTCTTTAAATGGCCTGTTGAAGTACCCCTCACCTATGTTAGCAGCTCTTTATTGACTGAGAAGTATGGTATTGCCTGTGTGTGGAGAGTTTTTTGGGTTTGTTTTTTCCTTCTCCCATGCAGTATGTGGTAATTGCCACAGGAAAGCATTTCGTTTGTTGGTGGTCATTCCAGGTATTACGTTATTTGTTTTATTTTGCAGGTTTCTAACTTATTCCTACCTTCTGGCCTTCAATGCGTGGCTTCTGCTGGCACCAATCACCCTGTGCTACGACTGGCAGGTTGGCAGCATCCCTTTGATCGAGTCCATCTGGGATGCAAGGAACTTAGCCACAGTGTTCCTGGTGCTGGTGATGACATTACTCAGCCTACACTGCATAGCTGTATTCAAGGTAACACCAAAAGTGATGCAGTACAACGTTTTGTTTAAAATATTTTGTTTCCTAATCTTCAGATGAAATGGTCAGTAAGCACAAGTTTTCCTCTCAAAAGCATTGGATTGAGGTAGAAAAACCTATACTGCTACGTAACTAATGCAAGCAAGCTTAACAGATAAAAACGTCCCTCTAGTTCAGTGTCTCGGTCTCTAATTGGTCTGATTTGAGGGCAAAACATGGCCTGGAGTCCTGCGTTCCACTGCTGTTAATGACCCCCACAGAAGCTCTTAAGTCTCTGCCTCTCCCGTAGTCATTAGGCTCGCTGTCTCTTGTTTCAGACAGGACTGGGAACTGTCATCTGCAAAGCCATTTGAAAACAAAATCAATTATTGTATTTGTACCTTTGCTGTGCTTCTAAAACCTTAATGCTGGATACATCTTGATGAGTAGATTTCACATGAGTGGAGTAATGGAATGTGGGAAATCTGAAATTATCTGGAAAGTGTTATTTAGTGTAAATAATGTAGTGTTTCACAACTCAGCATTTCAGATCCCTCATTAATCATATTGCTTATCATATATATTGTTAATCATAAGCTATGCACTTACTTGGAAAGGTTTTGTTGTGGATCACAGGGAGTTACAAGCTATTCTTCCCTTGGCTGTGTTGCTGAAGATTCCTTAGGAAAGGTGTTGGTAATAATTCTTGAAATAGTACAGAAATTTCTCTTCCTTAGACATACATATCACTGAAAAGCATAGTAGGGGAGTGATAGGTTTTTAATACCAGTTATGCTAAATTGTGCAGGTCATGTATGTGCTTCAACCTACCCTTGCACTCTTCTCTGTGCTCTTGATAAGACAGAAAATGAACCAAATAGTTTGAGACTGCAGAGTCATTAATTTAGATTATACATTGACAGATGATCTATGCGAAATATGGGAAAATACCCTATTAGGTATTCACTTGTTCTACCTGCAGGTTGTATATCATCTTGTATTCCTCCAGCTTTCATTACTCACTGCTAGAGATATTCAGAAATGTTTGTATTAGACCTAATCCTGTTCCCAGGGAAGTTAATGATAAAATTCTCATTAGCCCAGTACTGAACACTTCTGAAACATCTTATCCTGTGTTCTTTGAAGCTTCTGTTGCTTTTTATTTCTTCTCCTGTTGTCAGAATTGGCACTATGTGTAAGGTTAATGTTGTTTGTTTGCTGGGAAAAAAATCTTTCAGGATTATCCAGAGTAATTTTGTGTTATTTTATTTTGGGTAAAACCACAATCCAGAAGGATTCCTTTGGGTAACTGAATTGTTTGTCTTCTGTCAAGCTGCAAAAAAAAAATAATAATTCAAAATACTTTTTGTATTAAATGTCTAAATTTGATCATACTTTTATTGCTTCTGTTATTTTTTTTTCTTAAAGGCAGAACGATTTGGTCTGGATTTATGAATACCACTATTTGAAACCACAGCATCTAATTTTTTGTGATATTAAGTTCACTTCATTACTCTTAACCACTGTTAATGTTGTGTTAAGCAACATGGATGTCACTCTCCAGGCATTTACTTACTTGATGCTTTGAAATTCATCTTGTAGATTCCTTTGTGTTTATCCTTGAAAACCCTAAACATGGAATAAATTGAATCTGAAGTGATCTGTTTTTGTGTGTAACCCAAGTAAAACCAGAACCACCACCTATTCTTGACAGAGTGCTTTAATCAGTCTCTGCTTGCAGCCTCCCAGCAAACCCTCTGTGAACGTGGAACTGTTAATGGTTCCTGGGGGTCAACTCGGATGTGGCTCCCTAGGTATAATTAGAGTTAGCTGAAATACCCTGATTTTTGGGAAATTCTTAAATTTCTGAAAGTAGTTTCTGTTTTATTTTTAACAACTCTCATAACAACCTGATTTTGATACTGCCATTAAGTGGTATGAGGATGATTGTGTTGTGCCAAGTAGTAGGAATTATTGAGGAAAGTAAACAGTAGGAAGAGGCATATTTCCTGGAAAGAAATTATCCCATTTGGCTTCGGACACATGCAGGAACATTTTCTAAAGTGAGAAGAGGGAAGTTCAGGACACATGAACTGCAGGCACAGTTCACTATATTGGGCTCTTAAGAAAGCTTTTTTCCAAACATGACAGCAGTGACCTTTCCTACATGACACTGCTCACCTCAAGAAGGACCTTCCTTCAGTCAAGCCCCAGACAGGCTATTTCTCAGTATTTTTCAGCTTGTGGGCAGCATGAGATGCATCATTTGATTTTTCACGTTTCATGAAATGTAAGGTGTTCTGATTTCTTCTTGAAGCAAACACACACAACTGTCTTAGCAGCCATTTTAGGACAAGCTGAGAGAGTTGGGGTTGTTCAGCCTGGAGAAGAGGAGGCTCCGGGGGGGACCATATACTGACCTTCCAGTAATTGAAAGGGGCCTACAAGAAAGCAGAGGAGGGACTATTCACAAGGGTTTGTAGTGACAGGACAAGGGGTAATGGCTTTAAGCTAGAAAAGGGTAGATTTAGGTTAGATGTTAGGAAAAAGTTCTTCAATCTGAGGGTGATAGATCCCTGGAATAGGTTGCTCAGACAGGTGGTGGAGGCCCCATCCCTGGAGACATTCAGGATCAGGCTGGGTGAAGCTCTGAGTAGCTTGATCTAGTTGGAGTTGTCCCTGCTTATTGCAGGGGGCTTGGACTAGATGACCTTGGGAGGTCCCTTCCAGCCCAGATGTTCTATGATTTTTCACTCCAGTTTAATTTCAGAGTCTAACCTGGAAGCAATAGTTTGCAGTTTTCTAAGGAATGTTTTTAGAGTGAACAGGCATGCAGTTTGTGTTCTATTTGGTTGAGTGTGTAGGTGTGCCGAGGTGAAAGAGGACAAAACCTCTTGTTCATTCTCATTGGCACTAACACTTTCCTTTCTGTGGCGTGGAGAATGGAAATGACAGGAATTATTTTGGTACAAGTGAGGACGTTTGTGCAGTGAGCACTGAACTGCATTTTGGTGGCGGGAGGCGATGCGCATGCATCCCCAGAACAAGCTCCCAGGAGGTTCACAGAATACATTACATGGACTGTAATTAGGGAATGCATGTATTGGATTTCTGCCTTTGTTGCCACTGAATTTTAAAAAGGGCTAATTTGCTGTTGACATTTGTGATTAGGGTAATAACCCTATTGGCATGTATGTGTAGTGCTGATAAAGGACATCTAAGGCATGAAGCTTTCTTGTTCCATTGCGTTTTGTGAACGTTCTTAGACCTTAGAAGGACAAGGAGCAGCAGTGATTTTCTTAGAACATATCTGTTACTCAGTGAGACTTTTTATGCTGAAAATGGCAGAAAGAGAGAAGGCAGCTCTTCGTTTCTTTATTGTTTGGAGAGAGAAGTGACCTTCCTTGTCCTCCTCGTGCACTTTTGCTGTTGTTCTCTTTCTTACACAGTTCTTTCTTTGACTGGGTCATTTTATGTGCATAGTGGTAATCCCACTTGCTTAACAGCCAAAGAGCTCTCTGTGAGCAGCTCCCCAAGAAGAACTGGTTCTGCAAAGTGTTAAGGCTCACAGCCATGCTCATGTATTGATGCAGCCATCCCTATCACATGTGACAATGAATGTCCATTTTCTGGAGATCTGATGGGCATAAAGAAAAGGTCTGTTCCTTGGTGCACCTCCCACTGTGGGAGTAAAGGACATTGCTCTCATCTCTGGCCAAGATTTTTTCAAAATGACTAATGGAACAAAGTTGCAGTTCGTCATTAAGCAGCTCTTTGAAACCTTTTCAGACTTGATTTTTCACCATGCAGATGCCCAGCAAGCTCTGCAGATTGGCCTCTCCTGAGCTGCTTAGGCCCAAGGCATCAGGAGTCACCAGCAAGTCTCAAAATCCTCAGGTTCTGCTCAGTTCTTTGCAGTGAACTTCCTTACTCAGTCTGGTTGGGCTTTGGGTGGTGTGCTGGGGATGTGACAATGGCTGATGACGCTATTGTGAAGACCTACATGCCAGATAAAGACTATTAGTTGGGAAAAGAGGATGAGATTTGTTTATTGCCCATTTTCAAAGATAGCTTTAGCTGCAAGGAATGGGTGTGGTCAGTCTTCCATCTTTGGGACTAGGTAGATTACAGAGATACCAGTGAAACGGATGAAGCACTCTCTTTTTGGTTATGAAGCATGGAAGTTACAAGGCCAGAGAAATAATCTGATTCTTGAAATGGCCACTAGTGTACCCAGGAGCCCCGAGTGCTGCCTTTCTGTGCTGGGAGAA